AGGAATTTCATTCCATTCCTAAAAAACATGCCTTCTAATTGCATCAGTCACGGATTAACCTTCAGGCAAAGAGCGGGTCGTCACCTTGTTCACTGTTGAGAGGAATAGGTACCTTGCCTATCATTTTTATTTCCTTGTAGATATAGTAAAAAAAGAGACCCCATCTGTTTTTGGGGAAGGACAAATCCTGGTTATAGTAACTCATCATTTGAGGAAATTAAAATCCAACAGATATGACTATTTTTAGAAGAAAAAAACTATTTTTCTTTGAGCAACAAAAAAGTTAAATAAATGAATCTAAAAAAGACAGACTGTGACATACTTTATTTAGCAGATTTAAAGAAATTAGGTAAATAAAGATCAGAAAATGACGTTAAAGTGTTAGTTAGTCCAAAAATAGTCCAAGTGTTGTCGCATGGACTATTTTAACAACGTTTTTACTTTTCTTGGCCAGCAAGTTTCAATAACATAGAAGCCTATGGAGGAGTGAGACAGCTCTCAGATTTAATCAAAAATATCTTTATTTGTGTTCTGAAGATGAAAAAAAAAAGTCTTACGGGGTTGGAACATGAGGGAGAGTAATTACTGAGAGGATTTTCATTTTTGGGCGAACTATCCCTTTAACTGAAATACAACAGGAACAGCTTCACTGACAATGTTCAATAACTGAGTCTTATGAGGTTCATATGGTGAGGGAAAAACAATCCTATCAAACAATCAATGACATTTATTTACTTGTTCTGAAAGGCCGAAGTTCAGATGGTCAAAGGTTGACTGCTTTAGGAGAAATATGGATGAACAGCTGTGAAGTTAGTGAGATGGGCTAGCGAATAATACATGACTAAAGCTGTGATGAGTTATTAACATGATGATGACGTGGACATGTGATACATTGTCTTCCTCACCTGTTCAGCTTATGAAAAAATAAGTTTTGGTTAAACCAGCTGTTGGGTAAGATCCTCTGCAAGTCAAAGGAGAACTTCAAGAGTTGATTTCATTCAATCCTGATTCATTTGTATTTAACATCGATTCATGCAAATGATTTAATGACATCTACTGACTTCGTGAGAACTTTCATCCGTGTGTCGCTTTGATCGGATTTCTGAACTTTGCTCTATGATGAACCTTTTATGATGAACCTATGGGTCGTGGCTATATAAGAGGCTGAAATTGCTCTCAGATGTCGCAGGGTTAAAAGGTAGACGAGAAATGATGAAGTGAGAATCTAACATCTCCGGCAGCATCTTCAGACAGGCTTTAGACTAGATTAAGAGTGGGACCCAATTTGAACCCAGTGTGGGTCCAGTGTGATCACCCATGGGCCCCATCAGTTTTTTGTGTCCACCTTGTCCCCATTAGCACTCATGTGGGACCCATTTAAGCCCATAATGAACATCTAAGTTGGCCCCACTTAGAGCCCATATGGACCCATCTTGACCCCTCTGGTCTAATATCGATGGGGCCCATATGGAGCCGATGGAAAAAAGCCCCGTTTGGGTTGCCCATGGAAGGACCAAGAGACAGACCATCAAAAACTCACATGGAAATGTTGGCTGGGACTACACACATGACATTGTAGGAGGCATAGGAGCAAACTCGGCCCAAAAGATATGCTTCGAAAAGATCATTTTCACATGGTCCATGAGAAATGTGGAGAATTCAGACTTGAATATACTCTACTCTAGATCTAAAGGAGTTTAACTGCATTTTAAAAGTTATACATTTCATATTTTGTAATGCATATTTAAGGAGATTGGGCAAACAAACATGTTTGATATATATCAAAACACTTGTGTATAATCAATTGTTTTAATTATTTCACTAAATGTTTACTTAAACTTTTTTTTTCAAAAGAAAAACAATTCCATTATGAGTCATTTTGACCCTCTTTATATAATTGTGTAGGTTTTTTGGTTCATAGGTGTATGTCTATGATGTAGACGCTGCTCAGCTAAAGAAATAAGAATTGCTACTTTAATGTATTTAAAGATTCTAATGGGTCACATAATGTAAAATGTACTTTCAAACCACCTGTAGCTGACAAAACTAAGAATTCCCAGCCCGTTCTCATCATTTAGCGTCTCATAGAACGCTATATGACAAAACGGTGCTATACTACGCACATGGCACCCTTTACCGTTAATATAACACGCGAACGGCATCATAAATCCTTTAGTGTAATATGAGACTACCCTACCCTACCCCACACCTAAACCTACCCATCACAGCGCGTGTTATATTAACGATAACCAACGCATTCTCACCCCAAGGCGTCACCTTTGACGTATAAAGGCATATATATTTTTTAGTATACAGTAGGATATGACTATGAAATATGAAAATGACAATGATGAGGGTCAGTTTTTGCATTCTAGGGTTAATTGTGCTTTCTTATAAGACATGTTGTTTGCACGGTATATCTGTGTTATGAGCTTCTACTGTATGTTCTGTTTAGTTTAGTTTGCATGGTTTCCTTGTTCCTGTTTCTTCTCGTTTCCAGTTTGAATACTCTTAACGCACTCTGATTTTCACTGGCCATCAAGAATCGGACTCATATATATGATTTTATTTTTATTTATTTTTTTGTAGTTTTGGAGCATGACAACCCTAGTCCCCATTAGAAATAAAGAATGGTAGCAATAATGCTTTTGTGTAGGTCTTCACTGCTTCTGCAGAAACCTTGCTGCTGATCCAGACGTCCGTATAGTTATCATCTGCTGAGTGATGCAAAACCCAAATATCAAGATGTGTTATCATTGGCGACCGAGACCAGGATTCAGTCACTTTATGGTCAATTATGCATGTTATATAAGTTAAATTCAGTGTGAATGTAAATAAATAAAACTGGACTGGCCACAAAAGCAGTCATTGATTAAAACCTTGCAAAAAAAAACAAAAAAAACAAACCTGCAGTTAATCCTATTAAACCACCATATAAACAGCAAAACGACATGATATTTACCCTCTGTTTTACATTCTCAACTCTCACTTTTACATTTTTGTGTGAGTCTGATAACATGCCCGGTGCAGTTTTAAACTGTATGCCTCATTCTGGGAGGCAGCCGGGCCTCAAAGTGCCGGCTTTTTCAATATTCATTTCCCTGTGGGATCCATGTGGAATGAGAATTTTAATCCCATGCTGTGCATTCCCATGATATGCAAGGTGACTTGCGTACTTTCAGCTGAGAGGAAGAAAACAACATGATAATTGAAACTGAGAATATGGATAGAAATCCACGTAGTGTTTAACATGTTTTTGCTTAATGACAGCAGAATAAACATGCATGAGTTGACATGAACCAAACCAGATGATCATGTTCGCCAGCATAATTTGAGAAAGGAAGCAAGAAAATGTCTGTATATGAGACGACAAATTAACTCCAATCAAATTACTATATTTTATCATTAATATTTTTCTTCAAGATTTGTTGAATTGTTTGACCTTTTTTTTATTGGACTGATCATGAGACTTGTTCTTCCTACACACAGTAGACAAGCAACAAATTAAGTTAAGTCATATGGAAACTTGACAAGTCTTCCTCAACACCTGAAGGGCAGATGGCAGAGTCTGATTGTAACCACATGCCAAGGATGGACCGCAAACCTTAAAAAAAATAAAACGTCAGAGAATGAACAAATTGCCTTGTCCAGGAGCCACACTGTTTATATGCATGTTTGTAAAAAGTAAAATAAAATAAAAAAGTAAATGAATCTGGCTCTGCAGTTTCGAGTTGTCCTGTTTCAGTTCACAATCACAATATGTTATAAGATACCATGCTTTTCACATAGACATTCGTCTTTTTTCACAGACACATATCATGAGAGAACCTAAAAGAATCAGCCCATTCTCACCCCCAAGGCGTCACTTAACTGACGCCTTGGGAAGCATTTGGACATGCTTCAATATCTGACGCTTTAGGCGCCCTTTAGCGTCAGTTAGATGACGCCCTAGGATCGCGTGTACCCTACCCCCACCCCACACCTAAACCTAACCGCGTCCTCTAACTGACGCTTTCCTTTAGCGTCAGTTAAATGACGCCGTAGGATCGCGTCATGTAAGTGACGCTAAAGGGCGCCTAAAACGTCAAATATTGAAGCATGGTCAAAGGTGACGCCTTGGGGTGAGAATGCGTTGAAAGAATAGATAACAGTAATAGTATTTATACAATTCTTTTTAGAAGGCTTTATATGAATCCACATTCTTGTGCTTGTGGTTTGAGTTGTAGTTCAGTATTATGACATTTTCTGGCACGTAGTGTAACGGTATGAGATGTAAAAAAAAATGTCCTTTCTTTCAAAATTTGTAAAAAACAAAAAACAAAACTGTCTTTGTAGAATGGTTGAAGAATTCAAAGTCTCCCAGAAGCATTAAAAGAGCAACGCTGGGGCAAAGATCAAGCTGGATACAATTTATTGCGAGATAGATTTTAATTAAATAGGATGATTTTTTAATTAGATTTAATGAAAAATTATCCTGTACACCACATGCCGTTTTCAGTGTCTTCTCTCTATGAGTTTGAGAGCCCCTGAAAAGCAACCAGCCCCCAACATGCATTATTATTTGAGTTCATTTTATTTTTATCAAACAAATTTGAAACTCATCTGCCTGCTTGAATAAATAGTTAATTTTACTAACATTGCACTGAAGTCTCCAGTGTGGTCTCTTGATGAATTGATGAACATGTCATTATGTCTCAAGCGCCTGAGGTGGGGGATAAACATTATAATCAAAATAAATAAAATATTGAAAGGGACTATCTCAATTAATATCAGACCTCCGTAATTCCTACCAGAAACTTAGTTGGGCTTATTTATTTATTAGTTATTAGCCATTACACGTATTACTATTACGAAATGTCAGTGGATTAATGATAAATAATGTGACGGCATTAAAATAACGCTCTGATCTGTGTGTGTGTGTGTGTGTGTGTGTGTGTGTGCGCGCGCGCGCACGCGAGTGAGGGTGTGTGTGTGACAGCTGATTGAGCTGTAAAGTGAAGTTGTGCTCCAGCGGGTGGGTCTTCTTCTCGAGCTGATGATAGATGTTCACTATAAAACCTCACGGAGAGAAAGAGCGCGATGACACCAGCATCTGCAGACCTGAGGATGCTTTCTGTCGAGCTCCACTCTTCTGCCTGAACAAATCAGCTGTCATCCGTGTGGGAATAACAGCAAACAACATGTTACTTTTACCTGCACGTGGATCATTCAGCAGTTCCGGTCAATCCTGGATTTTAAACTGACTTATCTTATCGTGGAGACTATCTGGAATAACTGGGATGGCCAAGGTGTCATTACATTTGGGAATTTTGCTTTTTATTGGACTAACAGTCGCAATGGCCAACGGTGGGTTTAGATTGCATTGTACAGTGGACTAAAATCACTCTGCAATAAATAATAATAATTAAAAAAAAAAACATGCTTTTAAGCACAGAACACGTCAGGCTATATTATAAAAGTATTGCATAGGCTATACTGAGAAGTTAGATGATGCATGCATCAGGTGACTGTGGTGCCGACTATTTTAAAAGGAATGGGTTTTTAAAGAAATATACATATTCTGAATTATGCAATGTAGCCCACTAAAGTAAAGTTAATAATCGGACGTATTAGCGACCTAAACGCAAATCTAATTTGGTGCCACTGTCACAAAAGTCAAACACCTGATGCTGTACATAATGACAGCAGATCCTGCTGTTCAAGACCAACCCGTTATCGTACCGGTTGCATAAAGATCTACTATAGGCTTAAAAGTTAGTAACCTAATCCTGTCTTCAAGATTGGTCCTAAAAATCAGTTAGATGGGTAGTTTGGTCTAATCTGAATCTGAAAAGTAAGAGTGAATAACTGTCAGCTGGTCACAGTCATTAAGACAGTCTTAATTTATGGGTTTATGGGTCCCCCTTTTATGTGGGTCCTTAACTACTATGTACTTGCATTAAACAATGTGGTTGTGAATAGAAAACACTTGTCCTGCTATTGAGGTGTGATACGGGTCAGGTTAGGACAGGTTTGGTGAAATAGGTTTACGGGTGGGTTATAGGGTAAGGGAAGAGTCACAGGGAAATTTTAGATATAATTACAAAGTTTTATTACATCCGTAATTACATGCAGGTATTTTTTAAAAATGCATATATAATTTGTAAAGACACTCAATAAGTGCATCGTATCAAATTTTTAATTTAAATGTTAGTACATAGTATTTAAAGACACCTAATATAAAGTGGGACTAAAGTGGCCCCTGCTCCTGCATTGTGAAAATACAAGCCGTCTAAATCATTACCTAAAGGTTTGAAACCTTTTTTTTTTGAAACCAGCAGCTCATTTTTAGGTTATAAAACCATGCACAAAGGTGAACGATGACCTACTTTGAACCTTTACTGTGACAAAATATATATCGGATAGAAAGGTATGTATGATGTTTAGTGCTGCTGCAACGTGAGATCATTTGAATGAACAGTCTTGACATTGTTCTAATTAAAGCATTTCCATATTCAGGCTTTTCCACGTTTCGTCAAGATGTGCTTGTGAAAAACACAGCGAAGGATTTAACTAAAGTATCAAGTGCGACTCTTAAGCAGTTTGGCGGTTCTGCTAATAAGCCTGGAGTGTGTTATTTCTGCCAGCTCATAAAGCCACGGAAGAGAGCCAAGAGATGCACATGTTACTCCTACAAAGACAAGGAGTGTGTTTACTACTGTCACCTGGACATCATCTGGATCAACACACCTGAGTATGTTTCTTTTACTGTTTACCTCTTTCTTTAAGGATGGATTTACAATGGCTAACTTTGATTTAAACAATCTTTAAGTGGCATTTATTGGTTGTTGGCATAGCATAAATACTAGTGAATAAATGTGACAAAATATTTATTGTGGCAAGGGTTTCTGGTTCTTGTTAACAACCCTAAGAAATATGTTGAATCTAACTATGACATATGACAATCTACTGTACAGATGCCATGCACTTGTAAAAAATGTATGAAATTAATAATCAAACTATTGTGACATTTAATACGAAGAATAACGGAAGAATAAAACCATTAAAATTTGGTGAAACCACAACCATAATTCTATGGTAAATGCATGTATTTAATTAATATTAATCTGTGCTTATCTGAGGAAGCTACGTCATCTTAAAGGGTTAGTTCACCCAAAAATGAAAATTAAGTCATTAATTACTCACCCCCATGCTGTACCAACCCCGTAAGACCTTCGTTCATCTTCGAAACACAAATAAAGATATTTTTGATTGAATCTGAGGGCTGGATCACTCTTAGACAGCCTGAGGGACTGCCTCTTGACGGCCCAGAAAGTCATTAAAAGAAAAGGTTTAAATATTCCATGTGCCTACAGCGGCTCAACTATAACTTTATCAAGCGACGAGACTACTTTTTGTGCGAAAAAAAAACGTAAATAACGACTTTATTCGACTTTCCATTACTTCCTTATGGGCGCATGCGCGAGAACTGAGACGAGACCGTTCTTCTTCGACTACTTTTTGTTACCGGCTGCTCACCGCTTAGGAGTTTTACCGCCCCCTACCGTATAAGATGACGTACTGATATAGCCGGAGGCGCAAAACGTTCTGTTTACAAGCAGTACGTCATCTTATACGGTAGGGGGCGGTAAAACTCCTAAGCGGTGAGCAGCCGGTAACAAAAAGTAGTCGAAGAAGAACGGTCTCGTCTCAGTTCTCGCGCATGCGCCCATAAGGAAGTAATGGAAAGTCGAATAAAGTTGTTATTTACGTTTTTTTTTCGCACAAAAAGTAGTCTCGTCGCTTGATAAAGTTATAGTTGAGCCGCTGTAGGCACATGGAATATTTAAACCTTTTCTTTTAATGACTTTCTGGGCCGTCAAGAGGCAGTCCCTCAGGCTGTCTATGGAAGAGTGATCCAGCCCTCAGATTCAATCAAAAATATCTTTATTTGTGTTCCGAAGATGAACGAAGGTCTTACGGGGTTGGTACAGCATGGGGGTGAGTAATTAATGACTTAATTTTCATTTTTGGGTGAACTAACCCTTTAACATAAAGTGTAACCAAACTGGGTAGCTAAAATGAAAAATAGTGAATGTGCTGCATTATATTTTAACTGCAACTGCATATGATTTTCTTAGAAGGAAAAGTGAACTATTACATTTGGCAGTGTATAAAAACTCAACAAAGACACGTGGACAAATGTTCTCCTTTCTGTCAGAACTGAATTATTTCTGACCTACCCCCTTCCTCATCACAGAGATAACATTGCAAACCCAGTTTAAACAATCCACATGCATCATTCTTATCCAAAATGTTGAGAATAATAATAATAATACTGTACATGATGATGATAAACTTATCCTTAGTAGAGTAACTTATCTTTATTAAGAGAGGCGTCGTAGTTTCGGGAAATGTTTCAGTTCCTTCTACCAGCTCCGTCTTAGTAAATTAGCAAAACTATACGTCATATATTTTAATTTGTGTGAGCGTGTGTTGGAGGGGCATATTATATGTGAAATATATCAACTTGTGAAAGAGAATTAATCATAAGTCATGTTCATAAAGAAAAAATCTTGAAATGTGGGTCAACACAGCCTACAGTAATTATTTTCTCTGAGAGTAATTAATCTTCTCAGCCACTTGTCTAGCATATAATACTGGCTAAAGAGAATAGATGAGATCAGAGAGATGCGTTCATGACTGGATGTTTGCAGAAGTAACTCTTAGCAGATGAGGCCTTTAAGCTCCCTGAGAACAGCTGTTCAGATTTACTGAGTCTCGGGGTCTGCTTCATTAGTTTCCATACAGTAAAAATAAAGAGTCCTTTATTGAGGTGTTACCAAAAACACAAGGTCTAATGAACTGAAAGTTGGCCCATATTTCAAGTAATCAATGAGCTGTTAAAGTTCTCAAACCAAGCCTGCTGTGAATGATCTGCACTTTTTAGTATTTTGTTGTATCTGTTATTCTTACTGTGAAATATTACTGCACTACTGTACATTTTCTAACCAAACTGGTTTGCCAGTGAACACAGAATCTGTGCAAATCTCTGTAGATTTCTGCAGAATTGATACGCCTGTCATTCTTAAAAGTTATATGCATCCTTGTCGCTCTTGCGAGGTTCAATGGGGTTCTAGATGGGAACTGAAGGGTTCTTGACTTTATTTTATTCCAAAAAAACGTTATATAACATCTTAAATGATTGCATAATGCTTTAATGTTTAACTGGTGATAAAATATGTTCTCAAGCCATTTAATAAATACAAATTCAATCAAAATAAAAATGAATTAAAACTATATTCATTAAATGATCCCATGGGAACATTTGGTTCCTGTAAAGAACCATTTATGCCCAAAAGGTTCTATATAAATAATTGCATAATATAATATAATATAATATAAGCACCTGAAAGAACCCTTTAAGCGTCTTGAATAATTTCTTCTAACAGTGTGCTTGTTTATTAAACATTAAGGGTCATTTAATAATGCTGACAGCTATCAAGAAAAGTCCAAATCTCTCAATTTAATGTGTTTTATATTCAAATCCTTGCTCAGGTGTTTGTACAGTGAGGTTGGCATGGCGATCACAATCATAATCTGGGATGGTGTTGACAATTTTCTGACCTCCACAATCCACATTATTCATGGTTCAGTGTCATATTGCAGACCTCTTGGCAGATTGTGTATGTAACCTGCTCCAAGAGAGAAAATGAACCAGGGCTGTGAAACACGGCGCAATAACTCTGAGCACACATTAAATCCTTCTTTAAACTTCCAGACTCGATAGACGTGATATACAGTATAATTTCAAGGGAGGATTTGAACTTTTCTTTAAAAAATAAAAAGATAGAAGGCTTGCTGGTTTAAGTAAAGTAAGTCCTTTAAGTAAATCAAAGCATTGAAAGCCTTTATCACTTTCACGGTTTGCCTTTAAGCACCGCTGTGGTAATGTTTTCTTCAACTGCAAGGTCATAACCCTTTCTACTTGTGTATTGGCAGGCGCACTGTCCCATATGGCATGTCAAGTTATAGAAGCTCCCAGCGGATACGACGTTCTTCCGAGGGCAGCGTAGGAGGTCAGCGCTGCATGTGTGCTTTACACAAGGACCAAAAGTGTGCCGCTTTTTGCAGTCAGAGGTAACAATACACCTTCGAACCACTAAAGTCCCAACATAGCCCTATTGGGAAAGTGTGCCTCTACCATAGGTTAAAAAATATGCAGTATCAATGACGTCACCAGCAGGTTTCTGAAGAGCATTTTTGAAGCCCACCTTGGAAGCGTGTCACTCCCGGATAACGAAAATGGGCATAAAGGCAGATTAGCTGAGGTGACGTGACGCTAACAGAGAGCAGACAAACAGCTAGTAGTGACATCAGTGGAAGTCCACTTGTCACTCAAGTGGCCACACCCTTAATTATGCAGAACTTTAAGGCTTAATATAATTTAAACGGATGAGATAAAAAAAAATCACCCCCCTCACAGTAGTCACGAAGGGCAGAATCAGCTATATAGACCAAAACATCTTTTAGTACCACGCTGTAGATATATATATATATATATATATATATATATATATATATATACAGGTATATATATATTCTGCTGTAAAGTTGGGCATTTTAACATGGGGGTCTATGGGATTGACTCTTCTTTGGAGCCTGTCTCTATTGGCCAGTCGATTAATTGCATTTTAAGTCACTTCCACGTTAGATTCAAGAGATAGACCGGAATGTTGCCACTTGGCCTCTACCTACATTTTTGCAAAACTCAGAGAAAAAAAATCTTTACATACAATTCACTGCAATCTCCAGCTGAAATGAATAGTAGAGGCAGTAAAATACCAAGAACCTTTAATACTTTTCACTCAAATTATGATAACAAGGGTAGATAATTAATTAATAAAGAATGTCTTAGGTTACAACTGCTCCCTAAAAAGGGGAACGAGACACAGTGTCTTGGTGGATGCTATGGGGACGCCATCAGCTTATCCGGTGTCAGAAGCACGTGTGAAAACACTACAATCTGGTTGGTGACAGTCCGTGACGTCTTTAGCGGAGGTCCAGGAAGTATAAGAAGGTGCCCGTAGCAGATGTCATCAACTTATTTGTCTGAAGGAGAAGAAAAGAGGGAAGATGAGAGATGTTTTCTTACCTGTTATTGAACTGGCGAACATTCAACATAATACTTTAATTATAAAATGAACAACAAAACTACTGCTCCTGCCTCACAGACGACTGCCACTTAAACTAAAACAAAACACCAACATAAATAGTCCAGACCTGGTCCTCTCTCGTCTTGCACTGACTCCTTCTTTTATCCTTCTGGAGTTCCTTCGTGAGACTCGTGGCCTGAATGGGGCAGGTTACGCTCATTAACACTCGCACCTTTGGCCTCACTCCATTCCCAAGGCTGTTGGCCCCACCCTACTTGCCACAGTAAAATTTCCATCAGCGTTCGGATCTTTATTGAAGCAGTTCCTATTAATCACTTCCCTGAGATCAGGTCTCGTCTTCCTCATGTCTCTCCTCCTCTGCGCGTGGTAACACTATCTTTCTGGCCTGGCCCACCTCCGGTCCTCGGACACCCAGAGACTTCAGTCGGGATTTGAAAGGGTGCGGGATAGATTTCCTGACCACTGCCGACTGTGTCTTCGCCTCTCTAAACTTTCAGACCACAGTCTCAATAAATGTCCTAAAAAGTTCAGAGGACAAGACATTGGGCATCGAGGTGAAAAATACTTTCTTTCTTCCTGATGTTTGCCAAGTCCAGCCACAGATGCCCCTCTGTGACCCGTCGCTGTCATCGAGTGACCGATAGCAGGGGCTGTTGTTTAGTGGCCCGGAGAGTTAGATTCACGGTGTATAGCAGTTCAGCAACCACTTTAGGGTACAGGCCCAGGTCCTGATCCAGATCTTATAGCAGATCTGCCTGGTAGGCCTTCAGCACACTCGTGGCTCATCCACATGGGCCATCATAACATCCCAGCCTACCACATTTACATAGTTTGAACAAAGAAAGGGATAAAACCAGGCTGAATATGGCTTCTTCCATGACTTCTGCACTTCAGCATGGAGGTCGGGAAGAAATGAAGGCTCATGAGGGAGGAGCAAACATGGCTTAACAGCAACCTACCACAATCGACTTCACATTCCCAAGCCAGAACAAATCTGGCTGTGGCACGGTTCATGATGTTCAACAATTCCCTGTATGTGGGGCGGGCAGGTTAAGAAGACTCAGTACACACTCATTCCTCACCTTCTTCAACCACATCCACTTCTTCTTGGCTGGGTGGTGCCAGCTTTATGCTATCTACTAGATCTACACATCCTGATCCGCTTGAGCCCACGATCGAGGCGATAGAAAGAGCTAGCCCTCGACCCGCTTCGCTTTGGAAACAACCTTAGCTGTGGGGCACAGATGCTTATCCTTTATACCTTGAGAATAGGGACAAATGTGACCGGAGCTTCCTCATTGTGAATTTTGGGTGTATCACAATGGGCGCATACAGAACCCTTGATAACTGAATGTTCATACGCCTCTCCCAAGCAATGAACGCATAGGTTCACACACAGTGTGTGTCCTCTGGTGTCAAAAACCTGAGACACGGAGGCACACGCTTCCTAAAATGTTTAAGATTTTTCATGATCCTGCCACCACTAACAAAACAAACGGCTCCTGAAGACAAAACAGCTGATGACGTGTACTACGGGTGCCCTCTTATGCTTCCGATAATTCAGACATTTCCCTTTGAAAGAGTTGTGAAATGTGCGATTATCACCTCAGGCTTATTTTACCAATAAGTTTGTGTGGATTTAGCCTGACTTCATCATACGTACTCATATTCTGGTCAGAATATGAGTCTGATACTGCTCCGTAGGGCTTTGATTATGAGGCGTGTCTTAATTGAACCAGGAAGAAAAAAAAAACCTCTGCACTCAATTGGATAGTCGGACAGACCTACAACCAATCAGAGCAACGCAGTAAGTCAAATACTTTGCATAGCATAGTTGTCAACAACAGAACTTACTTATTTTAGAAGTAAAATAACGAGTGTTGGTTTTTTCACTTGGTCCTTCATGAGTGCGACCAAAGGAGAAACCACAACGACCACAGGCTTTTCATTACGTCCCATCTTCTTAGCGACCGTCAGAGCCAGCTGATAAGTTACACTTTTGCCGAATATCTTTCCGATCGACAAATGCTTTGATTGCAGTTTTCTGTTTGTCTATTAAAATGAATGCGCTGTCGATTAATTTTAAAAACAGACGCGACAGCGGAATCTATACATCTCAATTCTCCAGCTGCAGTCATCTCTGAGGGAAACCAGTTAACTTAAGCGCTCTTTGATAACGTGTTGATTACGTCCCTGCCGATCATCTGTCTATCATCGTATAAAGCCCGCCCTGGCAATCTGATTGGCCCGATCATAATTACTCCTCAATGGATCGAGTCCAGACCGAACTTCCCGACCAAAAAATGTTGTGGGCGGAGTTCGGGCTGGCATCCAGGCTAGTGTGGATATTATAGACTATGTAGTAATACAGCAAAAATATTTGTGTCTTTATCTAAATAACATACAAATGTAGGCACATTCCATGTAATTGTTTTCATTAATCAATTTAGAGGTCACTTCCACCAGCTTTCCCTATCCCATCACTAATTTGTTTTCTTTTTTGTTGTTTTCCTTCAGAATTGGCAGGTCAACATGACCATCCATTGGAGCCGATCTTAACTGATATTTATTCATCTGTTGGACTGCCTCTTCATTCTCCTGTCCCGACACCTGGAGAATCACCTCAGAGAAAAATATTCATATCTGTCCAAAAGGAAGGCCATCGGGATTCTATTATGGAGAGGGAGAATTAAAGAGCAGAGCGAAGGAACTGGAGAGGACTGGCGCTGTGATCGTGAAAGCATTACATAACTGCACCTAAGCTACAGAAGAAGCAATGCATGGACTGCCACTCTCAGTGTGAACGTGTGTCTTATGCATTTAGGTGAGATGTCTGTGATGGTCCAAATCTGACTTGCCACTATGATCTGACTTCCAGGTCAGACATGCATGGTGGAGTTGAATAAGCATTTCAGTGCAGGACTTTAAAAAAATATTTTAATCTTTTTAGACCAATCGCCATCATGTAATATTTAAAGGACTTTGCGTTGAACAATATATGAAGAGTTCAGATGCAAAAGCCTCTAAATGCCATTTGAAATTTTCTTCTTTAATGATGATTTTTGTCAAACTTGTATATTTAAGTTCGGTGATTTCACTTAAATGGCAATGATAATTACCTATTAATTGTTATTTAAGTTAAATTACTGGAGTTAAATATACAAGTTTGACAAAAATCATCATTAAAGAAGAAAATTTCAAATGGCATTTAGAGGCTTTTGCATCTGAACTCTTCATATATATATATATATTTTTTAAATTACTGTATATCAAACTCAACACTGCAACATAGGCTTATTATAAAAAATATGTTTGTATTTAATATGGTCTTTCATGATTTGAAGTTTCCCTGTGACTATAAATAATTCATGAAAAGACAAAAGGAAAATTCCTGGCTCTCTCCAAGCTTAAAAGATACCATGTAATTGGTTAAATGCCACAATAATACACAACATATGAATAACTGTAATAGAGAGTATATGCATTAGATTGTGTATTTATTACACTAACCAAACATACATTCTCCAAATCTAAAAAAAAGGCAGTATTATATTGCATTTCAAACTATTATAAGATAAATCCATTATTTATTTAAAGCTTTTTCATTTTTTTTATTTTTATTTTTTGTTATTTGAGTCGCACACACACACAAAATAACTCATTCCAGAGAGGAAACTGATGAAATTCATTACCTGAAATGGATCGTGCCTGCTCACTTTTCAAGGCCGTCATAAAGGTCATTTGTACAAAAAGTCCTGCACAGATTCTCTGTTTATTATTAAATTAAAACCTTTGCTGTTTTTATATCCATGACTTGTATTATTTTGTGTCCATGTGGAGCTCAACTGTGAGGAACAAACGTTAAACTAAAGAATGCTGAGATTATTCTGCTAAGCTAATTTGAAACTTGTGGATCAAATGTAAAATTAATGCCGTCTGGCCTCAGGGTTGAATAGTTCTCTCATTACTTCACCAAGGTACGTCTTATCCTTTCACACGGGGGGCCTGGCAAGAATAGTTTGCTGTCTTGGAATGTGCCCTCAACACACCCTCCTAACCGAGAAATAAGAGGTCATTTCCCATGGTGCATGATGGGAGAAACACACATCAAAACAGGTCCATAACAGTTCTCATCTAGGAATAGCTTTAGGAAGTGTTCAAAGATATATATGCTTTGTGATTTTACATTTCTTAAGCTCTTTAATATTGTGAACAATCTAAATGACCATGACATGCATTTCATCTGTGTAAAATCACTTTTACAGACGTCTATCTACAACAGCAAGGGCAGTACAACTAAATGTTTACGTGAAATACTGTATGGGAGTTTAGTGAATAAAAAATGATCTAAAAACAATCAGATGAATCTGAATTTATAAAAAAAAAACATCTCAGTGTTCTACACACAACCTTTGGAAGTGTTGCATTCATAATTGATGCATTAATGCATTAAAGAAAATGTATTTTTGTTGGCTGATTTGAGGCCAGTACTCAAACATCTCTTACACTCAGCTGACACAGAACGAACCATTTCCCAGATTTTTTACAACATTAAAAATGACCATGAGTGAGGCTTATCCACATAAATACATCACCAAAATCAAACTCCTATAGCACGCGTTGACCGACAAATGTAGTCGTGGCTGTCCGGCTTCTCTCTGGTCTTGTGAACAGACCTGACAGCCACGACTACAGACGTGCTACATTTGCCAGGCAATCTCCCAGGGAAACTCTCCACATTTTTCCTGGAGCATTCAGTCACTTTTATGCAACAGGTAGTAATGGGATGTGTCCCTTCAGGATGACTTACCGCATTTTAAGGCTGACTTTGGCTCGTTGGCACATTTTATCAGCAGAGCTTGACAAAGCTACTTACTAATAGTTTAAACAGAGCACATTCTCGTCTGTAAGAACAAGCAATGTTTGTTTGGTGATAAAAGCCAAATTTTGTTTGAAAAAAATGTAAAATTTTGGCAGTCCTGTCGCAAGTTGATGTTTTTATTGAGTATCATTGTTCAAAAGTCATGTGACACAATCACTTCCAAAAACCAGTCCACTAGTCATATAATTGTCATATTCTTGATACCATTCTGAAAGATTCATGTCATTTTTTTTTAAGTAAACAAGACTTCATATCTTTAGTCATTTTGCTTCTCAAGTAAGTTTAAGAATGTTTAGATAAATGGCTTACACTTCATTTTAAGTTATGTTTTGGCTGTTCATTTACAATGCCTTGTTATAAAGCAATTAAGTAATGAGTAATATTAATTAACAATATACTAACATACTAAAGCAGGTTTAGGGTTTGGTTTTGGGGTAAATTGCATGTAATTATGAGTAATTTACTGTTATTACGACGGAACGTACATTTAACACGTAACACTGAAATAAAGTGTTACTGATAATCCTGGGAAAAAAGACAAAAATCATTTTGGTTACATTTTTTCAATCGTCCACTTAAGACATGCAACTACATGTATAACTATTAATAGACTGTTAGGGTAGGGTTCGGGTTAGAATAAGTTGACATGTTGCAAAGTTGTTTATAGTCGAGTATAGAACGTCTTGAGCAAACCATCAACATAAAGTGTAGTGCACATTAAAATGAATAACGTTATTGCCTTTTTGATGGATCAGCTCATACACCATTCATCAGTTACAGTGGAGAACATCGGCCAAATTCACAGTCCATATCGGTCACAGAGGGGAGCCTCTCACATAATATAATGCAAATATGGATTCATTTGTGCTCAGTGGGACCATGAGAACATGAGAAAAACATCTCATCTTGAGCTCCACCTGTTCTATCAACCATATTATTAATTAATAAGAACTCTCGTCCCCTCATCTGCCTACACAACAGGTCAAATAAAGTTCAACTCAAGATGACATTCATTCACCAAAAGAAAACGACATGCTTCTGTGAAAATTTGCTGCAGGGTTTGTTACAACACAGTTCATAAAATGCCCCCATGCATTTACTACAAATAATCAAATCTGCAGAGGAATTCAAGCATATAGCAGTCATTCACATAGATACAGTCGGTTGGTCTGGGAACGCCCCCGGGAACGCCCCGTCACGTGGTGTGAATTTAGCCCGTGGGGGAAAACATTGCCTTGGCGCTCATTGAAATACATGGGACAATCATGCCGAAGAGTTGCGGTGTCGTTTTCTGTACCACCAATAAACTAACAAATTATAAATTGAAGTTCTACAGCCTCTCTTACATACATACAGAACCGGATAGGAGGACAAAATGGCAAAATTAATCATATCTTATTAGATTACTGTGTGAGTAGAGGTCCGTGTGATATAGTAGTAGATGTTTAACTCGTATTAGGCAGTGGGCCAGATTTGTCTGACGTTACATCCCTTACGAAAAAGAACTATAGTAATCCTATGGCTAATAGTATTCTATAGTAGTGTATAATACTTCTGTGATGTTCATTAATATCTATACTTCTAGGCTATAATACTATAGTAGCCTATTCCTATAGGATTAACGTTACTATAATATTTTGTCCTAAAATACTACAAGATTCCTTTAGTTGTTTTTCATAAGGGATGTCTCAGTCACATTAGCGTTATCAGCTGAAGGTTATCAGACTGCAGTCTGTGAGAATTCGGATAAGTGTCAGCAAAGTCCCTCTGCAACTTCGTAGCGACTACTACTGATCACCGTTTTACAAAAGGATTTATAGTTTGGAGTGAAGCATACGTACAATTGGTAAGTGACATGGTTTTATGGACTTATAGTAACTTATACGCAAGTTGATTGAGTTACAGGCTTGGGTTGCCGGTAGCTTCCGCGATGTCTTACCTGAAGATTCAACCAGATATAATAGTCTGGAAACGACACCTCCGGCCATTTGGTTGGGTCATTGACCCAGTTTTTAATTAAATAAGGGCAATCATAACCTATTACAGTTAATTTTGCAATGTACCGTTGCCGGTCGGCAGGCATAAATGACTCGCAATATGACATTTTTGCCATTCAAATACATAGGATGGTCGCGCTGCTATATCCCCCTCGCCGACCACGCCCCTCAAATATGACGCGTTGCCGACTGTATCTATTGAGTGTAGCACAGTCATTTTTCAACATGCTGCTGTTATAGCAGATATAGACGCCCAGCTCAGTTTGTTCAAATATTCAGTGTTGTACACCCACAAGTGAAAGCCTAAATAATAGCCAGCCCCTAATGAATTATCAGGCCAAACTGTAGTCACGATATAACAGACCAATTACTGTTGTGGCTTCATGTTGGTGTAGTGCTTCGTGTCGGTGTAGTGCTGGTGTTGTGCTTCATTGCTGCTTATGGGTTTGTTCTCATGCCAAATTTTTTTTTTTTAAGTCATACATATTGCATTGGTTTTCCTTTGGATTTGGAAATAGATTTTATTCAGTATGTCAAACGGATACATTAATCTATCAGAAGTTCTGTAAGAAAAGTCAAGTAAACTATTGCCCTCATGAGGATTTATCTGCTAGGAATTTCTTTCATCCAGCTAACAAGTGGAGGTGAAGAAAGAAGAAGTGACCTAATGGAAATGGCAACAATTTCAAAAGCAATTTTTACACAGATCCCAATGAGAGGAAATGTTTAACTCTCTGTCTGATTGCTCAAAACAACACAAAGCTCTAGAAAAAAGAGAGAAATGAATTGCCAATACATCTGTTAGTTTAGTTTCAAGCTGCATGTTATTTAAATGTACAATTTACAGACATTATCAAACGATCCCAGTTCATATGAATCTGTGAAAACGACCAAAAATGCTGTGTTGTGTTCTGCTGCCAGGTCAGTAGTCAGTGATGTTACGTTGTAAAGAAACACACCTATAGACTGAACATGTAACATGCATGAGCATGACGTCACTGTTTCAGAAATTCGTGTTTTTGTAGTTTACAAGATTATAACGGTATCGTTCACAAAAATGGTTAGGGTTAGGCTAAACCTGTTTACAAAAGTTTGCGTTTCCAGGCCCCCCA